CAGTAACTTTAAAAAATTATTTTAAAATTTCCGACGGAATCCGAAAAAAATACTAATGTAGTAAAAGGCAATAACTTTGACTTTTGATTACCGACTGAATCGGTCGCAAATAAATTTCTCGAGTTTTTCCGCCAAAACCTTGTGACCAACTATGTCGGAGTATGGTCGAAATATTATTAAAAAATATTTAATATTTTTTCTTTATTTTTCAACCGAAATGGTCGGAATTTGCCGACTACAATTTTTAGTCAGAATTTTTCAGTCGAAAAATAGTCAAATTCTAATAGTATCATAATAGGCTGAGATTTGCTATATGAATCCTCATATGTCATGTTATATATTAAAAATTATTTTAGGCCAACATAGATATTCTCTATATTTGCTACTGATATAAGAATTTCTAATAGGACTAAAACACCAATAGAGAGCATGAGACTTAAAGTATCCGTATTAATATAATTAAAATATATTTCTTCGTAAATGGTATTACCTATATAAATATTTTTCTTTCGTTACGTTTTATCGATCTTTCCTATATTCGCACTGATTTCAAAGGATTTATGTCTTTTGAGAGAATTTTTTTCATGTAATTTTAGGTCTACTTCATTTCCTTTTAATATCATCACTCATCATAATTTCGTATTAACGAACCAATGCATCTGAAGGTCGATAATAGAAAATAATTCACCATATGATAAAAAGAAAAAGCTAGTGTACTCAATGTGAAGATGGAAAAAAGATAGAATGAATACATGAGGAGCAAATCCAACTGTAGATTATATCATACGTAGCCAAATTGAATGTCATGATAGGACAAATGCATGCCTTAGATAATGAAATACAAAAAACTAGTTTTGCTAATTAAAATGTAAGAAAAATAAAGCTAATAAATCAGGGACAAAATTGTCCAATTGTAGATTAACATAGTTGTGACATACATATAATACCAAAAAGGGGAGATCTGGAGAATATTTTGTAAGGGTTAGTGAAATTGTATGCATTTTCAGCGTTAAGTCCAAATTCCAGTATATGGTTTGGCGGTTCCATAATTATTGAATGCTTTTGAATTATTTGTATTAATATGCTATATCTCCGCTATAATTTCAACTGCAGCAACCGCCAAACCAATTGAATTTACTTATTTTCTTACGTCAATTTCACCGAAGGGTGGTAAGTGGGCCGGTCCAGGACAGGGACCAGTCCGGAACCGTGGATCAAACGGTCTTCTGGGCCTAAACGGGCTTGAACCAGTTAGAACCGGCTAAGTGGGCCTGGTCCGGTCTTCTGGGTCGGTTCTTCACTTTAGGACCGCTAGGCCCGGGACCGGACCGGTCTTGGTGGGCCCAAACGGTCCCAATGGTAAAAAATTTAAAAAAAATATTCTGCTAGTTTGGGCATTTAAAAAATAGCCGTTGGGTCTGCCAAAATTACAAAATAGCCATTTAACCCCTCCTCCCCCACCCACCCCCACCCCAAACTTTTTATAATTATATTTTTTTCCTATTTTAAAGTTTAAACTATAAATATCCTCTCAATCTTTCATTTTTCTCACAAAATCATCAACCTCTCTCAATCTCTCTCTAATTTTCTTCTATAATTGCTACTATTGCTTAATTTATTGTTACAATTTGTGAAAAAAATTGTGAAGTTGGTGAATTGAAATCTCCAAGTCTTCAACGATAATCAATTTTCAACAAGTTGTTCGTCAATTCGGTAAACTCGTTCCAACTCTTAATTTTTAATATTATAGTTTTGTTTGTTTTATTTATTTTCTATTATTTGATTAATTAAGATGACTTCTTTAAAAAAAAAATTGGTAAAAATAAGGAAAAATCCAAGAGTGGCGAATCTAGTGGCCAATCTGTTCCTCCTCCACTGCCCCTGGCTCCCCGACCCAAATTCCATATCCGTCCTATACCTGCTATTCTTGATAGTGATAATAGTTTATTACAATTTAGTGAGAATCAATTTTGCCATAATGTTGGAGTTGTTGAACAATTAGACCATGAATTAATGAATGCTCTTTATTCTAATCCAACTATTGATGGAAATGATGAGGAGAGAATAGATTTTGATGAAACTCAACCGGATGACGATACACCCATTAGTCTTGCTCCTGAAGTTAACCCAACTAGTGATAATCCAAATGATACTCCATCTGATACTCATGTTACTGCCCCTATTTTTTCTAGATAACGTACCAAACAGACAGAAACATCTATTGTTTGGCCATTTTTTTACTCAACTAATTCCACAAAATAAGACTAAGTGTAAAACTTGTGGCAAGGAGTTAACTTTTAACTTATTGCTTATAGAATAATTAATTCACGTCACACATGGCAGTTTATTGCTAGTACAGTTACAGATATTTGTAGATATTTTTGCATTAGTGATAAAATAATGTCAGTTTCAATGGATAGTGCTACTAGTAACACAAATGATGTAGCCTTGCTTACCACTACACTAAGTCCTGCATTTAGTAACATTTTTTATTTTAGATGTATTTGTCATATTTACAATTTAATTGTGGGTGATGGTATGAGAATTTTAAATATTGAATTTGAAAAGGTTAAAATGGCTCTTAACTGGCTTTTTTATTCAAACCGTAGAAGTAAACTTAGAGAATATTTTAAAAGATGCGATGAATTTGGCCTAAGAGAAAGAAAGGTTCCTAAACCTTGTCCAACTAGATGGAAATACATGTATGAAAGTTTAGTTGTTGCACATGAATATAGAAAACCCATAAACTCAACGTTTAATGCTCATGTAAGTGATGGTGATGAGCACCTTACAAATGCGGATTGGGCTAATGTTAAAATGCTTGTAGACTTTTTAGAAAAATTTCATATTGCTACAAATGAATTTTCTGGGCAATATTATCCTACTATTTCTAATTGTTTAGTTTATATTGCAGAACTTGCAAATTTGTTTGCTCATTTTTCAGAGGGTGGGAAAATTTATAAACTTCCTATTGATTCTGTGAGAAAATAGTTTAAAAAATATTTTTTCCCTATTTCCCTTATTTATAGTATTGCTGTTTTGTTAAATCCTTATATGAAATTAGGAGATCCTCAATTTTGGTATGAAATTGTTTATAAAGGTTTAGCACTTGAAGATGAAGAGTTGTCTAAACTTCCGAAAGCAATAACCTCAATTAGAATAAATGCTCAAACTATTTATAATGCATATCAAGTTGCATTACATCATGCTAGACCAAATGTTCCAACTCCTTCTTCTTCTTCTGATTCTCCATCATCTAAAAAAACTACGAGAGTAAGAGCACTTAGTGCTTGGACGGGGTTTAGGGGTTCTCAAGGTTCTACTAGTCGTGAATTTTCACAACTAAATGAGTTTGAAGTTTATTTGTCATAGGGAATTGAGGAAGTGAATCCCGACGGCTCCTTTAATCTTTTGGAATGGTGGAAGGACAAAGAAAAATACTTTCCGGTTTTTTTAAGGACGACACGAGACATTTTAACTATTCAAGCTTCAACAGTGGCATGAGAGAACGCTCTCAGTCAAGAAGACTTCAACTCGGTGATTATAGAGCGTCTATGAGGGAGAGCTTGGAAAAATCAGTACTTTTCAGAGATTGGATCCGTTCGGAAAGAAGAAATTTTGGACTTGCTGAATCACAACTAGAGGTAGACGAAACTTACGAAGAAATGCTAGTTGAACTTGCGGAGGATTCTGCTTCGCCCGGAAGCGGTGATAACCAAGCTTCTTTTCCGCCACCACCAATGAAAATTTCTTCGATCTTAATGGATTTATGAATCTTGTAAGAGATACCATGTAACTTGTATGAACAAAAATTAGTATGTATTAAGTAACATGTATTTTGGCATATCTTTGATTAGTTTCCTTTTCTTCTAAATGGTGGTATTATCATCTTGTTGTGCTCATTCCATAGGGGGGAGGAAGACTAAGAAAGATATTGCCATATTTTTTTAATGCTATAATAAAATTATAACGCATTGCTTTGAATATCTCTTTACAGTATTTTTATCTTTAAATTTGAATTAAAAAATTTAGGTAACAATTCTAAAATAAAATTTACAAGAAATTATTTTAGATATTTTTATTAACATCTATTTTTCTCTAATTTCTATAAAAAAAATTTAAAAAAAAATCGGTTGGGTCCATTTAAGCCCACTTAGCCCGCGGTCCGGGACCGTTTAGCCCGGGACCATTAATTCGTGGGCCCGATCCCGGGCCAGTTCCTACAAAAAGACTACCAGGATCGGAACCGTTTGGCCCGTTTAAATTGGGACCGGCCCGGGATCGGGACCGTTTGGACCGGCCCATGTCACCCTTAATTTCAGCCTTCAGTGTAAAAAAAGAGAAAATGTAGATAATAAGCAGAGAAATCGAACCACAGTGATGCAATTCATATAGTGATATTGCTATAAAAACACAAACATAGACTATGATCAACACACTGATTTACATTTAATTGGTACTGTTGCTTTTGCATTATTTCCTTTCATTTTCTAAAAATAATAGAACAAAGATGATCATATCGGTCGAGAAGACTAATTCTTTATGTATCTTCAGGGGCAAACTGTGGTGATCGCCTGTTTTTTGGTTCCTCTTTCCCCATCACATTGAAGGCCAAAAGAGAAGTAATTTCCGAATAGGACAACGTAATGATCAGTTACTCTATTACTATATCATAAAACTGTGCCATGGGACTATGAATCAGCTTCCTATAATAATTCCAAGACTATGGACCCTTAAAAAAAACATGTATCAGAAAGTTTTATTAGTTTATATCATTTGCAGAAGCAGAGCAACGTGAACGATGTGTATCTTGATTGTCACAATCATTCTTAACTTGCCGGGCTTTCTAAGGAATTCAATTGAAAAATAGAACTTGTGTTACCAATCCATAACAGAACTACGGCTCAGTACGTAGTATAAATTCATTGCTCCCTCTATGTAATATTTCATCCGCAACATTCAACAACGATAATAGAAGATATCAGGTTGTGAAAACTAAAATGGCCAGCTTGACATTCAATTGGAAGGTTGCTTTTGGAGCTCTCCTAGTGTTGGAAATGTTTGTTTCTCAAGCCACATCTCGAGACTTGTATGAAGCTTCGATTTTCCAGAAACACAAGCAGTGGATGAGTCGCTTTGGACGGGTTTACAAAGATGATATAGAAAAGGCAAAAAGATTCAAAATATTCAAGGATAATGTTGAGTATATTGAATTTGTCAACAAAGCTGGGACTCGACCTTATATTTTAGGCATTAATGAGTTTGCTGATTTGAGCAATGAAGAATTCAAAGCCAGCCGCAATGGATACAAAATGTATTCACATCAACAATTGTCGAAATCCACATCATTTAAGTATGAAAATGTGACTGCTCCAGCTACTATGGATTGGAGAACGAAAGGCGCTGTTACTGGAATTAAGGACCAAGGACAATGCGGTAAGCTAAAACAAACTAAACATTTTCGTTCATAACATCGATCATTTTAATGAATGTGGATTACTAATATAATGTAATGTAGGATGTTGCTGGGCATTTTCTGCTGTTGCTGCTACAGAAGGAATAAACAAGATCAAGACGGGTAAATTAATCTCTTTATCGGAGCAAGAACTAGTGGATTGTGACACAAGGTCAGATATGGGATGTGAAGGAGGTCTTATGGATGATGCTTTTAAATTCATAATCAAGAACAATGGGCTTACTACTGAATCCAATTACCCATATGAGGGAACTGATGCTACTTGCAAAACTGGTAAAGAGTCCAACCATGCAGCTAAGATCACAGGTTATGAAGACGTTCCAGACAATAGTGAATCCGCTTTGCTAAAAGCAGTTGCCAACCAACCAATATCCGTTGCTATTGATGCTAGCGGTTCAGATTTCCAATTTTATTCAAGCGGTGTTTTCACCGGAAAATGTGGAACTGAGTTAGATCATGGTGTTACAGCGGTTGGTTATGGAAAAATTGGTGATGGAACTAAATATTGGTTAGTGAAAAATTCATGGGGAACAAGTTGGGGTGAGAATGGATACATAAGAATGCAAAGAGATGTTGATACTGAGGAAGGACTCTGTGGAATTGCTATGCAAGCGTCTTATCCATCTGCTTGAATCGGACCTTAGGGCGAATTTGCTGTTGATTATTATGTAAAGATAATTGATGTTCATCCTTCTTAATTATAATTTATGTGGTGTATCTAGAGTCTATGTATGTTATGGACTAGCAGTTTGTACATTTTAAGTGCTGAACAAAAATTAGTATGTGAACAGATCGGTAATACGAGTCATGTGATTATGTTTTATAGTTGCCTTTTAAACTTCCTTTTCCATATTGCTTTATGGTAGGATAAGGTATTCTTCAGCAATTGACTAACCTTGTCAACTTCCACTCTGGAATATCGCCCAAAATAAACTATAAAATGTGCAAAATGCTTGTTTGAACGATTTACATGCTGTTTATGTTAGCTAACCTAATTGCATTTTAGAAATTCCACTTATAAATTGTATTTCAGCAATGCGGCGAAACTTAAAAATCCCAAAGAATGTGGCTTACGTTTATACCGAATGCGACTTATAGATCGCTATAAATCATCGGACATTTACCTTGTGCGACTTATAACTTGCATTTGCGAAAGATGAATTATAAATTATATTTACAAAATGCAACTTATAAACCGTATTTCTTGAATGCGACTTATGAATCGCATCCCGAATGTGATTTTTCAGATACGAACCATCCAGAATTCTCTCTTTCCGTTTCTGTTTCCATTTCCTCTTTGGTAAAATCATTCTCGCTTTCTACTTCTTATACACAGTTGAAATTCTGTTATTGTTATGCTGTAAATTTGATCTGCATGAGCAAATGATACTCTCTCATTTTTGTTAATTTTACATAATCGTGCTACGTTCCGAAGAATTTGTTAGTTGTTTGAATCCTCCATTTTTTCTTTTTGGTTAATCTTTCATAATGTGTACGGTCAAAACCGATCCTCAGTCATAAAGACCAGTCGAGACGACGACGTTTCGATCGAAGGATATCTACATGATGAGCTCTGTCGAATTTCGAAGTAGGGACGTCGAGCTTCGAGCCAATAGACCGATCAACGACAAGACTCGGTATCATTGTCGAGCCCATATCCAAATCGAACTACGAGACAATTCGTAGTTCATCGAAGATGCCTAGACCGACCAACACTCGCCCCGAATATCGATGCCCCAAGGCAGA